CAAAGGGTCGGGGGGTGGGGGGGTGGGGTGGGGGGGGGGCTATCTCCAGCGATCAATGGTCAATCAGGTGGGGTACACCCTGGACACAGAGCCAGTCCATCGCAGGCATACATTCCCATATGTTACATTTCTAAATGTATGCCTTTAGCATTACTGTTAATGAAGCTACTTTGTAAAGGAGCTGGTGACATACCTGCTATGCTAGCAAAGCAGATGTGTTCAGCTCGATTTAAAATGTCAAACGAGCAATGACGATGGGTTCAGTGTTGCTGCTGTGATGAGTCTGACACACAGGTGAAACTCGAAAAGTTTTAATATGGTACAAAAGTTCATTTACGTATGTCAGTAATTCAGCTTAAAGAGCGAGTAACGCCTAAATTAACTTTTTTTTGCTTATAACCTGTACAGATGAGTGTCTAACGTGTAATCATTAGTGTGGCAGTTTAGTGCAACTTACTTTAAATTTATTATTTCAGCCCAAAACCATAATTATATCTCCATCTTCAGGTTTAAAACTCTGCTCCACATTTATGTAGAACCAGCTGTGGCTGAAGGCTAAGCTGGAAAACGTGACGTTATCAGCAAAGTACTACGTGGCTGCACCGTACTGGTCTCCAGGTGAGGCAGCCGCACCTCCATCTGGCTCAGCCACTCACCTGCTGAAATGACACATTAGCGCTCTGAGCCGCTCGCCTTTTCATCTATTTTTTTGATGTGTGGTAACTTATTGGTATATCATTATAGCAATTGAGCTGGTATGATTATAATGAGCTCCTAGAGTTTGTTGTTGTTGGGTGTGTGTGTGTGTGTGTGTGGGGGGGGGGGGGGGGGTTGTAAAATATTTGTAATGAAATTGAAAGAGACCTCAGGAAGAATAGCTCCACACTATGGTGTGAGCTTATGAGGTTCTCAATAAATAAATAAAAATAAATAAATAAATAATGATCGTGGTTCACAGACAGGAAATCCTCCAGAATGCTGCAGAATCTGTGTCTGTTTCACTCCTGAGCGTTAAATATTGTGTGAGTGCGTGCTTGCATGCACGCGCTCGTTAACAACTCGTTTTTAGACTGAGAAACTCAGTGCCGCTCTCTCGGTCCGCCAGACGCAGTGTTGGGCAAGGTACTTCAAAACCGTAATGCATTATTTATTACTTGTTACCCTCATTTTAAAGTAATTCCTTACATTACAATATTACTGATTTTAAAATGTAAGGCATTACACTACTTTTGCATTACTTTAAGTTACTTTCACCAAAACAACTTCAATATGAATCTGGTAATGTGACGCTCAGTGAGCTCATGACATATATGTGGAAAGTGATGTGGTGTCTGAGCTAGGATTGCTGTTAAAAACAGTCAGATATAATAACAGTGCTTTAAAATGATTGTTTACTAAATAAAAGCAACAACAATCTGTACTCTCAGCACGCTGCCATCTAATATTAACTGAGCAGGGAGTAAGGTGGTGGGGGCTCCAAGCCTATATTTGCCTTGGTCCCCAAATGCCTTGATACGGCCCTGGATGTGGGACTGACTTCTGGGGTGATCTGATTCTATCACATGTATAAATATTAAATGCTTATATATTATTGCTTTTCACTGGTAAAAATGAGTATTGGGGATAAATCTACCTACGTTTCTTCTTTTCAAGCACTTTGATTTGTTTTCTTGATTTTATTTGAATAATTTCCGGCTCTTTCTCTCTCTAACCTTTCTGCATGCTGCATGTTTTCTCCGCCTTCCAGAAAAACTGTTTCCTAGATTTCCTACTTTCTAACTAATCAGCCAAAGGGATCTACCGAACGCAAAAAAATAAATAAATAAAAGTCTAATATGCGCTGTGCTCCAGCAGCAATGAGTTGAAATCACCGGCGCACAGATTATGAACTCAGCTGAAAAGTACATGAAGTACCAGAGAATATGGGCTGATATAAACGATCACAAATGAATTACTTTGTTTTGGTGGAGCGATTTTGTGTATAACAGCAGCCGCGCGCAGGACACAGCTGGAGTATTTGAGCCATTACTGCTGCGTCCTCTCTGCACAGAGAATGCCCGCAAAGCTGAGTCCATAAATGATGTAATAAATGTGGATACTGGATCTTTTTTCAGGCTTCCCGCAATTTGAATTTTTAGGAAACCCACATCTTGATTCTGGGTTTAAAAATGCATTGTAATTATCGCGTTACTGACAATTGTACCAAGTAAATATTACCATTTACTTTCCCTGTAATGCCTTACATTACCACATTACAGCAAAAAGCAATGCATTACAGTAATTGATTACTTTTGTACCACGTTACTCCCAACAATGGCCAGGTGACACCTGTTTCAGAAGCATTTTCCTTACAGGAAGTGTGGATGAAATATGTCTCCACCCAGACCTTGACTCTCACTTTAAAATATAACTCATACATGAGATAAACCCATTCCATGCCGAGCCAGAAATTCTAAGTATTTATTTGTTATAATTGAGATGATTATGGCTTACAGCTGATGAAAACCCCACATTCAAAATATCAAACAATTAGAATATTGCATGAAATTTATAAAACAAGAATTTTAAACCGAGGAATATCAAACATCTGACAAAGTATACACAAGCGTGTTGGTTTTGGCCTTTTTGCCTTTACAGAACTAAGATTTTTCGTGTTTCACCTGTATCGCCTGGTAACCCATCCTATATGTAACTATATCGTCCAACCACGACCCACAGAGCTCAGTCGTGGGTGAATCTGCAATTGTCTTTCAAACTGTCTCCAAACACAAGTGGACAGCGCTAGGACCAATCAGAGCAACGAACAACACCCTACACCGCTAAAGAAGAGTAGGATCTTTTTCTGCTCATGTCTCAAGGAAACCACTGTTCCTGGGCCATCTCCATTTTTGTTGATTTGCTCACTGCTCTGCCATCCTCATAAAAAAAATAGCATAATGGTGCCAGGTCTGCACAACATCTCTCTAACATAGTGCTGTGATTGGCCTGGCCTGAACTTAGCTGAGCCAATGGTAGACCGGCTGAGGCTACAATGGAGCAGGGCTAGACTTGCTGAGCAATGCCTTTTGCTGCTGTAGTTTGTCTAGATTTCTAGGCTATCTGCAAAGTTTAATGAGAAGTTATTCAGTTATATTGCCATAGATGACAAAATACACAAAAATGTTTTTCACAAGAGGTTTCTTGAAATGTTAGGTGCAGTTTTTCAGCTCCATGTACGAGCTGCAGAGCCTTGCTGTTGCCACGTTGAACATGCTAAAAAGCAATTATTAAATAAATCAATGAAAGTTTTCTCAGTTAATTTCCTATTAGTCATGAAGTACAAGGATTGTGATGTAGCTGCAAATGAGACATAATGAAATCACCTAATAACTGAATTATTGCAAGAATATTCCAACAATGGAAGCACTTTGTTAGCATTTGTGTCATACATTCAGCAGCTACCTTTTTAGTCCTTGTTTTGATGCTTAAAGCCATACTTTGCAACAAAAACAATGGTAGAAATACATCTAAAACAAGATAAAATGGAGATATTAAAACTAAAGCTAAAAACAAAAACGTCTAGAAGGCAAAACAGCATACAATACATTAAAATCAAGAACAAAACTAATCCAAACATGCAAAACATCATGACTGAATAAAAACCAAGCTGAAAACATAGGTCTTAAAGAGATTCTTTGCATCTTTGTCATTTTAAAATCATTTTCTTGAGCCAGCATGTGCTAAAATGACTCTTTACAGGGTTACTGAAAGGCAAACCAGCCCCTATTGCCCCTGTGGCCAGAATCTTGCAACTTTCGACTGGCGGACCGCTCGGTTGGGACTTATATAAATTGGAGCTGACATACCTGGTGCTGCAGTCTGCTTCCAGCACGTTTCCTGCATGTTTTAGATCACGATCACAGCTGATTTGTTTAATATAGTGATGAATCACTCCTGTAGACATTAATGAAGGCTGGGGAGACATTTCAGCTGTTAGATTAAGGTGTTGGAAAAGATGAGCGCACAGCGAGGAGGTAGGTTTTGGTTCTACAAGTGGACAAAAGGGGGGTGCTACACGCAAGCCAAAATCACCTAGTTTCCCTTTAAACACAAATATCCTTGAACCCTGAAGCAGGTGGACTCCACCATACCAGCAACGAACAGGAAACTGAGGCTACAGTTCACACAGGATCATCAGAACTGGACCATAAGAGACTGGAGAATCGTTTTCTGGGTTACTCAAACCAAAGCATTGATTTTATTTTTGATAGGATGTAATAGTCAAGCTTGTTGGCAACCACGGATGCAATTTTTTTCTTTAGCAATTTAAAAGTTTTAAATTGCTAACTCAAAAGTAAACAAAGATCAGGGAATAGCGATCCTAAACAGAACTGTAACCTTTTACTTTCAATTGCATTTGAGTGGAAGTATAAAATAGCATAAAATATGAAAATTACAACAAAACCAGCAACAAGTGCTCAAAGTCATACTTGAATAAATGCACAGAGGTACTTTCCACCTCTTAAGCTTGTTTTCTGTTTTGAGTTTGAACCTCTTTATGAAATGCTTTCAGTTGGTAAATAAAAACAGCTATTGTTCATAATTGCACTACTTTAAAGCATTTGTGGTCATTTTTGTCGGTGGATCAAATTTTCATCTGTCAGATCAAATCAAATTTATTTGTAGAGCTCCTTTGATGGTTAAAAACAGCACAAAGTGCTTCACACGAATAAAGCAACAATATATACAGAATAAAAAACACTGCCTCATCACTAGTTTCAACTCTGAGTTTCACCTGTATGTCAGATTCATCACAACACTTTCACACAGCTCAGTTACTTGTTTGTGAATCTTAAACTGAATTTAAAAAAAGAAAAGAAAAATCTGGAATGACAACCAATATACTTTTATAATATATTAAATGTTTAATTTTATATATGTAATATAAAAAACCGTTTATTAGAACATTTTACTAAAATGTCTAATAATTTAGTCCCACTATTGTGTAATACTGCCCCGATCCAGCAGGCGGCGCTAAGGGCGAACAAACATCACCAGAAATAGCAGCTCCATGCAGCAGGGCTAAAAACAAAGCAACTTCACCACACGTAGGAGGCTACTTTCCCCGTCAAAATGCTCAAAAAGAAACTAAGTGGCACCGAAAAGAAAAGGAAGCATTCGAAGTCCGAAGAACGACAGCAAAGCAACAAACGCAGGAGTTCGGAGTCGCATTTAGAAGTAAGCTGCTGTAGTTAGCGTCACGCTAAACCTTACATTCAGTGTTTTGTCACGCGGTTTACCTTCTTAAACACGAATACATGACAGCGAAATGTAAGTGAAATCGTAAATAGACACGTTGAAATAAACTGCCTTGTAGTTTTAAAATGAGTGATTCAAAAACCCCAAAAAAAGAAACGTGTGTGTCGTCATTAAATCACTAACCGTGTCAAACTGAAATTTTAAATAAGAGAAACGTCTTAAGTGTGGGATAGTTTTATTTGACTTTACCCAGCTGATCAGATTTGTCTGAAGTGTGACTGAAGAAAACGTCTGAAAACTGCAGCAGAGGACGCTGCTTCAGCCTTTACTCCTGAATGGGAGAAAAGTTGCTGAATGTAGTTTAGCACCTTATTTTGTAGGGTTGGTTCATCAGTTCATAATTAAGTGCAGCTGAGATCCTGATCAATGCAACATTTTTAAATGCGGTTAAAACCGATGTTATTTTGTTCCCTCTGATACAGATGAAGCTTGGTTTTTACTCTAACCAGTCTGGTGTGATCAAACCCAGCATGTGTTTGTTAGACCAGTCCCATAAAGACCTTTATCTGCTCGACTATAATCATTACTAGACAGAGTCACACATTAAATAATGAGTCAGAGATTTGATTTGGAACTATGAAGGTGTATTAGTGCCACTATAACGGCCCTGTTTTAATCAGCGTAACCGAGGAATCTGAGTGGGACTTTACTGTGTAAAATATTTTAAAAAGTCACTTGACTGAGTTGAAGATGCATTCTTTTGGCCGTTTCCACAACAGCAGATCATATTTTAGTTGATCCCTGCTCCAATTCTAGGGGTTTAACGGTACACTAAAATCATATTCCATTCGGTTTAGTGTTTTGAAGAGCTCGGTTTGATTAATTTTCGGTATATTATCATATCTGAAGCAGCTCCTATAGTGAGCAGAACCAGGTGTCATCACAGGCTGCTGATCCAGCATGATGTCTTTAATTATTCCACAGGTTATTTGTGCAGCAAAGAGTGTCACGCTCATGCAGACAAGTGTTGTGTTTGACTGTTGATGCTCCGTGTTTTTATTTCTGCAGCGAGCCTTAAAAACCCACCTCACACCGCCCAGAGTTTCTTCTTTGAAACTCGTATTAAATAACAAACTTCCTCCGAGCCGTATTTTTAGCTGTAGGATGAAAACTTTACATCAGTTGTCCCAGTTGGGGGGGAAGTTCAGCAGATGTGTTTGTTTACATTTTTGTCGCTGCGTGCCTGCAGTGTGTGAGAGAAGGGAGGGAGGGGCGACGCTCCGTTCAGCGTCTCTACAGGCTCCAGTAGCAGCGACAGCCAGCTGGTTTGATCCGCTCTGAAAGGCGTTGATCAGAATTTGCAGATCACATTTTTTAAAAGGAAGATCGGGCGTGTGCAGCCATCATGCTCGCCTAGGAACTTTTGTCTGCTGCACTTAAATCACGCAAATAAAAATTAAGTATTTAACAGAGAAAATAAATGGAAACAGTACGCAAGTGGACCGTAAGCTGATCCGAAGCGGTTCAACCCCTGTGAGCCGTTACACCCCTATCCAACACACTTGATTCACATGTTCAGATGCTTATCAAGCTCCCCAGAAGCCTGTTAATCACCTGCTGGTGAAAATCAGGTGTGTTGAAGCAGGATAACAGTAAAACATGTTGGGTACCGGCACTAGGGGAATGGAGGTTTTTTTTAAAATAATTTTTGTTAAGCTTGCCCTCGTCCTGTAGAGCCGTGGTTTCCAATCCCAGAACCACGAGCCAGGGTCCCCTAACCTCAACTCCTATCTGCGTGAGCATGATTCACCTTGATTGAATTTGCAATTTTGGTGCAAAAACAATAGATCCTTAGTAAACAGAGGACGTTTACGTCTTTGTTCCTTATCCTGCTGTGACTTGTCACATTAAGGTTTATTTTACTCAGTCACAACATAAATGCCTCACATTAAACAGTATTTGTTAATTTATGGGGCAGTTTTTAACTGAAGTCTTTGCTGCTACAGGCAGTATTGATGTAGGGTTTAGTAGCTAGAATAAAGCTAATCTGTGACAGGTTGCTCTCTTTTTTCTTGTAAGCATCTGCAAAGCAACTCTAGCACGGCTAGTTTAGTTGTGGGTTATCCTCCCTGCTGTGCTGCATCACTTCCCTTTGGCATAGAGCACACTAAATATATTAATAAACCAAAAGAAATAGCTTTTTTACCTGCTTTAAGTTGCTTAAATAAAGTTAAACTTATTTGAAAATACTGTAAAGCATGTTTTGAGACACGTCTGAAGAATATGACAAACAGCCATGTCTCCTGTTATCTCTAAGGACTCTAAGGACGAGCTGGCTGATCCAGAACTGGACCGGATCGGCAGTGACATTGAGGAAGGAGGACTGGACCTCAGCATCCCCTTCCAGCCCATCACGGCTTACGTCAGCGACAAGAAGGAGATGCTGGAGCAGTGTTTCCGTGTGCTGGGGGAGAAGAAGCTGCTGAAGATGCTGCCCGATGAGCTCAAGGTCATTTATTTCAGTGAATCTTTATCAGGGAAAGCTTTGATTTTTCTTTCTTTAGATTTTCAAACTCCTGTTTGTGGTAAAAACTCTAATTAATAATGGAGCTCATGAACTCTTCACTCCTTATCCTTCAGGCAGATTTTAGCAGCATCAAAGTTAACAGTTACTAAAATATGCTGTTAGGTGCTTACTAACAGCTGGTTATGCTGGTGAAGGTCATCCAGGTCACGACTGGTACAACAGACAGCTACGTCTTATAAGCTTGACTCCCATATTCCAGTCAGAATTGACAGAGATCCTCGGATGAGAAGCGAAACGTCTTCAAGAAACCAGAGAAGTCGAGTTGCCTTCATTTGAACCCTTTTGGAATTTGAATACACCTTCCAGTGCTACTTGGACACGTCATCAGTGAAGAACCCGGGGTCTTAGGGTGTTTCAGGTCCTTAATCTTCATACACCCTCACCCGGGCGACCCAGGTGGAGGTGATCATTCCCCAGCTTGTGTCCAAGTGGCCTATTGCTCCACAGATCCCCCCCGGTTACAGCTGGATATGTTTATGTGTTTAGGCTAGCCTGGGTAACGCATTTGGTAAATGACGATAAAAAGTATCCACATTATTGTTGACAGGACTGTGGCTTGGAGGAAATCAAAAGTCTGTGTTGGGAGCAACTGGAGTCGATTTCAGAGAAAACCCTTAATCAGATCTTAGCAGGTGAGACTGAAACAGTCTGTGTGTGTGTGTGTGTGTGTGTGACTGAGACGTTAGAGAATTACAGAAGCTGCATTAAGTGTTTGTGTTAAAGGAGAAGAGCTGCCAACAGGAAATGGGAGTGAAGCGGCCTTGGAGAGCCAGTAAGTCATCGGTTTTACTGTAAATAAAAAAAGTACTTATTCTCTTAAAAATCTTTCAGTTGCTGTTTTGGTCTCACTTAGAGCAACACTAAAGCGTTCCTATCACTTTAAATGCAGCTTTCTCATATCATAAAATCATTTTCTTGGGCCAGTATGTGCTAAAACGACTCTTTACAAGGTTATGAAATGTCACGAACAATCCTATCACCCCCTGTGGCTAGATTATCGCACTTGCAACTTCAGACAGGTGGGCCACCGCCCGTTGGCTTTAGAGAAAATGTAGCTGACATACCAGGCGCTGCAGTCTGGTTTCAGCATGTTTTAGATCACGAACACAGCTGATTTGTTTAACTTAGTGATGAATAACTCCTGTAGACACTAATGAAGGCTGGGGATGAACCTGAACGCACAGCGATGAGATACATTTCACTTTTGGACACTAGGGGGTGCTAAAAGCAAACCAAGACTTCCAAGTGTGCCTTCAAAGGTGTGGTTGGCTGATAAAACATTTTTTAAATGTTTTTTTCTGATTTATAATCAGTCACTCTGAGTCTTTTATGCAGGCTGATAATGAAAATTGTCTCCTACATCTAGCTCCTGCATTAGCCTTCTGATAGAAAATAGATGGTGGAACCCCAGAATTTGAAAAACCTGACAGATCTACGTCGCACTGTCACTTAACATTCATGGATTCACACATCTTGACTCATGACGGGGAAGGCTGTTGTTGGTTTAACGTCCAGTGATCAGCAGCGGATGTCTCGGCTACTTTAAGCTAACAGTTAGCATTAGCAACTTCACCACACAACAGAATTCCTCCATGCTTGTGTTTTTTGTAGAGATAAGACATCAACGTAGCACGTCAGCGGTAGAGTCGCATTGCTGTTCACCAATCAGAGAGATGTCCAAATATCAGGAAATAAGATTCCAAATCCAGCCATCTGAAGCTCTCCTGTGATGTTGTAGACTTGGGCCTGCTGAGATGGGGTTTGTGGGCTTTTTTGTGCCCTGAGTTCTGCCTCCAAGGCATTCTAGACAATAGAGACCACTGCAAATGTATTGATTAAACGTGTAATCTACTCCTTTAGTTACTGTTTTCCAACTGGTTTCGGTGGTTCTCCAGCAGCTTCACATTGGACAGCGCTCTGCCACACTCTTCTGGTCAGAAACTGTATTTACCAGTGCATCACTAGTGCAAGGTGTCTGCTTTACGGCAATAGCTGTTTATTGTGCCAGTAGGTGAAATAAAGGCTAGCAGTTAGCTTTGTCAGATCCTTCAATAAAAAGCACAAGAAGTTGTTTTTTTGTGTGTGTGTTGAGGTGGAACGTGGAAGTAAATGAAGATGTCTTTGGAGGTGAAACATAGATAGCATGAACTAAACAAAGAGGTAAAACCAGAGTGAACATCGATGTGGCCCACACTCGTTGGTTTTATCTTCAAACCATCTAAGAAATTAGCAATTTTTTTCTTTGTTTCTGAACTGCCAATAATCAGACATTTAGGAAAACAACAAACACCTTGACTGATGACATCATCTGCTAAGCCTGCAGCAGGTTTTTGATGACTGGTGTAATTCTGCTGTGAACCAGTAGGGGGAGAAGCGGGAAACTTACTTAAAAGTATTCAGTTCTGCTAACAAATTTGAAAATCAGACTTATTTAGCCTTCAGAACACATGCTGTGTTGCCTTTTGAGATCGTTGGACCTGTTACAGTTTCTATTGCAGAGGTTTAGCTGGTGAAATGTAACTTTTTAGTATGAACCACAGTTAATTTAATGAAAGGGAACAATGTGTTTTTATAGCTTTTTTCCTTGTTTCTGTTTTAGACAAGATAACAACGTCGACTCCACTTCTTGCATTAAGGAAACACCAAAAACTACTGAGCCTAAAGGTATTTAATGTGTATCAAAGTAAGACTGTTGTTACGCGTTCCCTTCAGGAACTCAATGGAAATAAAGATGAAAATTGTCTTTTTTTTTTTTTTCCTCAGACGGCGGTGGTTCTGGTGATGAGAGCGACGTGTTGAGCATCAACGCAGACACTTACGATAGTGACATCGAGGGACCCAAAGAGGAGCAGGCTGTCAAATCTGCAGATGTGGTGGTAAAAGTGGACGACAGCGGAGGGGAACGCTCTGACCCAGCTGTAAAACCCGAGCCGCCACAGAAACCAGAGACAAAGAAAGACATTCAAAGTGACATTGACAGAAGTGTTTGTGAGATTTTAGCCCCTTCTCCCTCTTCGACTAAAGAGCCAAAAGAACCGAGCGGAAAACCTCCGCCTGCAGATGCGGAGTTGTCTGTTGGGAGGGAAGCTCCTTCTGGTTCCGTTTGCCAACCGTCGATTCAGCAGCTAGAGCTGCTGGAGCTGGAGATGAGAGCCAGAGCCATAAAGGCCCTAATGAAAGCTGGAGATAAGAAAAAGCTTTGTATGACCGCTAACAGTTAGCTGGCTCCAGTTCTTCATTCATCATATTACTGGTGCAGAACCGTTAAAGCTTGATTCATTTTGTATTTTGTGGACTGTTGGAATAAACAAGGTGACAAATGAGCTGCAGTCTCCTCTTCAGCCACAAGATGGCAGTGACACTCTTCCTTGAAAGCAAGTGTCTTAGTCTGTGCAGAGGCTCTTGTTTCTGTGAAATTAGTCAGAAAGCAGGAATAAGAAAGTGTTTGTACCATCTACAGATTAAGCTCCTTTTGGTCTGAACTGTGCATTATCAGGCAACGTCAAACCTAGATCTTTTGGAAGCAAGATCACACGGGCACGAATACATTATTTTATTTTTTTAGGACATGCTGCCTGTCCTGTTAAGGTCCAATGAAAGTTTGAAAGGGTCATTTCAAACAGATGCAGAAAAGCCTTCAATTAACAAAAAGCTAAATAAATCTTGACAAAAGCTAAACCTCTTGACTTCAAGCATGCGTAAGAAAGACCGCACCACTCTAAATGTAGTCATTTCCTTTGAATTGGGTATAATTTAGAGTCTTATCTTCTAAAGTCGTTGACACTTTATAGTAATTTGCTTTAAAAATGCCACATTTCAGGTTAAACTGCTCTATGCGAGTGTGCAGTAACAGAGGCAGAGTTAAACAGCTCTCTACCCTGAAGCAGTCAAATACATGTGCGAGAAGAAACTGTTTCCCCCTCTGGAGGAAAAGCCTTTAAAAGGCTCGTTTCATGGTGGAGGTGTGTGTGGGAGGGTTAAACATGTCATTCTCTATGTATTTATAAGCAGGTATCTTAGTGCTCCTGGATGATTTAAAGTCAAAAAAGCAGAAGAAGCACCTGAGAAAAGATGCTGAAGTGCTTTAGCTGCCTGGGATTTGTGAGCATCTATTGCTGTCGGTTTACTGCTATTAGAATGCCAATTATGATCGGGTCCGTGTGAATAAACGGCTGTTAAAGCAGAACTCACAATCAGCTCGGATAATGGATTCACAGAGGTGAGTCGGTACTTTCTGAATTCAAATGAACCTCATGACCCATAGAAGTGTTGAGCTGTGATGCGTCTGAACGGCGCTAATGTCAAAGTCAAAAACAAGGTCATGCTTAAAGGCGCTGCAGCCCTGTTCATGTTTAACAGCCCCGCCACCATTATTGGATTTTGTAATGACTGGGTTAGTGATGCCTGTAAATGACTATGAAAACCATTTTCTCCAAGGTTTGGAGTAGTTTATGCTCTGATGTTTTCAAATCGTGTGATGTAATGTGATTTTAGATAGTTGCATCTCAAATATTAAAGGTGTGGCACACTCGTTTATTCAGAACCTTTCCAGTGGTCTCTAGTAGGAATGAACGCTCTGGGGAAGAAAACACTGGTGCACCATTTTCAGCAATTGGAAGGCCCAGTCCCAGTACTCGCACTGCACCATAAGCTCTTCTCACTTGGAGCAACTGCGGAGTAGATTTGGAGTGTGAAGTATACAAGTGTGCCTAAATGGGACAGGAAGCATTGTGTCATTGACCACGATGTATGCTGGGACGCTGATCTCGGTTTGTGCTACTTCAAAAATTTTTTTATTAACTTTCAAAATAAAAGTTATTTGGCTAAATTTACATAAATTGCTGTCCACATTAAATCTTGGTCTAAAACATTCAGAGCATGGATAAAGATCATTAATGGCCAAAAATGAACTTTCATTTGAAAATACATGTTTTCAGAAACAGTACTTGAGCCATATGCTCCACCTTCTTCTCAAAGTTCCCACACAGCGATGGAATGTTTGTAATGCCCTTCACTGAAGTTCACATTGATGTGGACTTTGGTGAAGTCTGGATCAACGATAAAAATGGGTGCGGTCAACTTTTGCACTTGAGAATAGGGACACCTTATGCACTCACATCCCTGGACGGGATCATGCAGTTGAAAGACGCAAGGGTGGAAGTGCGAGTATTGGGATTGGGCTGAAGTAAGCCACATCACATCTGGAGTCTTATTTTCTGATATTTAGACATCTCGCCTTGGATTGGCTTGCAACGTGACTGCACCACTGACTTGAACCACGAATGTTTTAGCTCCACAAATATCACAATCCTCGAGGAGTTTTGTCGTGGGGTGAAATTGCTAATGCTAGCAGTTAGCTTCTACTAACTGACATGTTCTCTGCTGTTTCCTGGATGCTAAACCAACAAAAGCCTTCCCCGTTGTGAGTCAAGATGGGTGAGTCCATGAATGTTAAGTGATAGCGTGATGTAGATATGTCGAGATTTACCAATCTTTAATTTAAGGAAGTTCTTATTGGCCTGTTATAATTAAGGATTATTCATGTAATTTTGACGTGATGAAGGAGCCATTTCTCAGGGTTATTATCCTCTAACCACTGTTCCCTTTGACACAGTGCCAGAGTGCATGAAACAGCCTCAAGGTCATGCATTCGCTTCTAAACTGTTTACGTTCTAGCAATGAAGACAGAAGATGAAGTCTCTTTTCTTTCATTAGATCAAAGAACTCTATTTTCAATAAAGCTAATCAAACAACTGTTAGTCAATAATACCATGTGACCGATCTGTGAAATCACAATATTATGATTAATATGTTTTTAATAAGTAAATGATTTATTTTAGTCACTAGACACGCTGATACATGAAGGTAAATTATCACATGACACATTGCTGTGCTGATCCAATCAGAACCTTCAAGTCTGAAGCATGGCAGAGTCTCTGTGGTGTTTATTAATTCTGTCAGCTTTGATTCATCCAGAATCAAAAACATCCAGATTAATAAAACAGTTCTAACGCCATTATAATTCAGTATTCAACAAGATCTCAAGATCCCCTGAAGTTCATCACATATGGACAGCCCATCTGTACTCCTTTTTTTAAGCTAAGAACTATCAAGCTGGGAAAACCTGTCGTCGTTATCAATCAACAACGGTTCCTTCAGAATAAAAGCTGAACTCGCTGACCCAAGGAGGGTCCCCCTTTCTGACGCTGTGAAACACCTGTCGCTGTTTACCTGGAGACAATCCAAGGACTAGTCTGTCATGCTGTGACGCTGTACCATCGGCTCCAGTACCGGAAGGAAGGTCAGAGGACCTGGGCATTCTGGATCCATCGTGGAGGTCTCACTGAAGGGTATGTGGATGCGACAAACTGGTGTCTCGTGTTTATGACCACAGGCTCAAACTTGATCAGTTAGGAGCAAAACATCATATCCCACTCAGACTCGCTTCTCCGGATGCGAAGGTTCTGAACTTGACATCGCTCACACACACACCATTCACCTCACATTTCATTCCAACAGAGCAGTCATCATTAGAGAGTTAGTCTTGTTAAATTGTTTAAAATTATTTAGTAAATAAATTTCCTTAAACGTTTGAAAGTCTCTCTCTCTCCTCTTGTCTCTCAGTTCATGCAAAGTGTTTATTTAATTTCCCTGTAATAAAAAGATCCAATCTTCTGATATAACCCAGTGTCTATAGATGGGATTCATACTCGATATGAGTCTTTAATGTCTATGGTCATTAATTAAATTGTAATTCTAATCCATTACATAATTTTGATCATAATCGTCTTTCATCATTGTTAAAACTGTGACCAGCTAGTTTCTACCAAAAGGACAATGATTTTCAGGACAATGATCTGAATGCATCGGTTGGTTTGACCTCTGGGTAAACTTCTTGGGTGGTCTACTTTTGGCGCAACTCGTAGCAAAAGATAAATCCCATTTTGTTCCTTTTCCACAGTTATCCTGAAGTTTACAGGTCAAATCAAGCTTGCACCATGTTAGCCTATGGAAAATGCAGCATAGAACAATAATCTGCACTATTATTATGTTTTTTTTAAATTCAATTTTGGTTACAAATTTCAAAACTAAAATACAATAAATTACAAAATCAATTTATGTCAGTAATCCAACTAAGACTGAGGCCTAGTCCACACGTAGCCGTTTTTTTTAAAAAACGAATATCCGCCCCTCCAAAAACTTGCATCCACACCACCTCGTTTTAAAAAAAAACTCTGTCCACACGTACCCGGATAAATACGTTGTTAAGGACATGCCAGACCTGTAGGCGGCAGTACTTCCCCCGTTCTTAACCTCGTCCTTCGTCTGTGGTCTTCCACAAGGAGCAGTAATTCCGCTTGCAAAAACAAACAAGCAGAAAGCGCTTGGACAATTGATAAAGCGAGCGCAGCTCTGAGGGCATCCATGCTGTCGGCTAGTGTAAACACAGGTCGCACACGTGATGTCAGCATTTTTTCTGTCGCGGAAAGTGACGTTGAGGACCTTAAAACTCTGGTTTTGTCTGTCCACACGCAGACACCCAAAACGGAGAAAACGCAGATCTTCACTTTGGCCGGAGTTTTTAAAAAGATCCGTTTTCGTGTGAAAAAACTTAGTTTTCATGTGGATGACAGGTCAAAACGTAGAAAAATATCTACGTTTTGGCAGATCCCCGGCTACGTGTGAACAGGGCCTGAGAGACCATCTAAAGGCTCAGGAACCAGGTGTTCTGGATTCATCAGCTGATTAGAGTGTGACATTTTGAGATAGATTATTGAACCTTTTCACAATATTCTAATTATTTGAGATTTTGAATGTGCCATAATCATCACAGTTATAACAAACAAAAGGCTTGAAATGAACTAGACTCGAGCAGATGATTAGTTTTGCTGTAGCGGCCAGAGGAAGGACTTTGAGGAAATATAAATTCTAAAAGATTACTGACTTTCTATGACATAAAACAGTCCATTGGTCAAATTTCACAATTTCTTAGGTTACTTTGACATTTGTAAGCTATGTGCCCCAGCTTTAAGAAGACCATATTGAATGATTTCCATGTATTGAACAATCTTTGTTCACTATTTTAAACAGTTTGAAAATGGCCTTGTGACCTTTCTCAGAGTGATGGACAGCACCTGCCTCTCTAAGGTCATTGCTGAGGTCTTTGTTTTGCTTCAAATCAGCAAATGGCTCAAACTTTTACTTTTCAAGAGGTGCTCGGATGTGCTGATGGTCAATTAATCAAGTGGATTTGATTACTGGCACCTTGCTGACTATGTTCTCTGTTGGAATAATTGAGGTAATATGGATGGTTTTTACGCTT